TAGTTCATTCCATGTGCCAAAATCACACTTTATTTCCAAATAAGTTTTCTTTCCTAATTTAATTACTTGTACTTGGGGCACATCAGGTGGCTGACATACCATGCCATAAAGCTTCAAGCTTTATAGGAGGTTTTTCCCAGCTGCACGATCTGAGTCACCCAGTCCCTGAGTGGGTCTTTACCCATACTGTCCTGCCAGCCACCTGGTGTTTGTCTCTCTTGCTCAAATTTAGCAACCCTATCCTTGACTTATCTATGTCCCAAGCTATACCTTAACTGGAAAATATTTTTTTCCTTTAGAGGGGCTGAAGAGACAATTTTAAATTCTAACAACTTCTATGCTTTCCATAGACAAAATTTTGCTTGCAAACTGGCCTTTTCCTTTTGAGCACATCTCTTTTTGTAAGTGTCTTTGCCACATGCATTTAAAAGCAAACAGTTTATTCTTTTGAATTTTTTTTTCTAGAAACCATTTTTCTCATCCTTGTCTGCCATGTCAGTTGATTATGCTGCTCAGAGATTTGAGTGTTTATACTATGCAACAAACAAGTGGATACAAAAATCTCAATGTTTAGATTTGCAGGTACATAATGTCCCATTTGGACTAAGGACCAAAGATCTAATTTATTCATCCTAAACAACTGTTATAGAATTCTATTGAGAGGCATCAAGATTTGACTCAGACCTAAACAAGTACCAAAATTTTAAAATTGTATTATGTCTAAATCTTGTCTTGGGACCCCATAGAGGTAAGAAATGATAGAGTAAAATTTGGACATTCTAGGATTTTCAAAATCCCACTTTAGTGAGACTTAGGACTGATTTCCCCGGGGGTGGTGCTTACCGAGTCCGGACGGGACTGCCAGATGAGTTGGTCCACTTCTCCTTGGAGTCCAAGCCAGGTCAAGATTGCTCAGAGAGTTGGGGCACCAGGGTGAAGGAGAACCCAGAATACCATCGGGTGGCACGCCACCTCGTTCAGTCCCATGTCCCTCCCTACTCCGATGCAGCCCAGCCACCAGCTGGTGGCACAAGGGGCCAGTCAGTTGGAATCTTGCTGGGGCCTCCATATGTTGTGGCAATATAGTCAGAGGAGAAACCAACCAACACTTGGAGGAGTGGAGAACTCAGATTTCAATTTTACGCTAGCGGGCCCAGACATATACCTGCGTCTGAGCCCCGAACAAAGGATTCACAGGATATTTAAAAGGCAGTGCAGGGTATCAGGTTACAAGGAATGTGCTCTCCCATAAAGTAGGGCTAGTAGTGGGTTAGAGATCTAAGGTTTAGATAAGAACAGCAGGGGAGTCCTGCTTTGGACAGTTTATTTACAAGTGGAGAAAAAAGGAAGGCAGGAATGGGTGCTTATCTCTGCATGGTGCCTTTCATCTTGGTCCCAAACTTTTGCATGGCTCTAATGGGCAATTCCTCACAGCTCTGTCCAAGGTTACAGCTTTTAATTGACAGTTTACCATGTTTTACAACCCTGTTTCAAGGCTATCTTCCTCTTCAGTCCATTAGGCACAGAAGAGGCATGGCAGGGATGAGAGATGTGGCAGGGGTGGTCAGAAGAGAATAGCTCTGGAGCCAGTAGTAATCATGGTCATAACCAGAATGATTTTACAGATGTTAGGTCTGTTCTGTACACTTTATGTACATTCATTCTTTTCACAAAAACCTCCACTTTACATCTAGAAAAAAAATCTCTAGACTCAGAAGTAACTAACTTGCCCCAGGTCACTAGCTTCTAGGTGGCGGAACCAGGATCTGACAGTAGGTGTTCTGGACCCAGAGTCCCACCTGTATATCCTAGTCCAAGTCATACAACTTGCATCAGAACATGGAATATTTACAAGTAGGAAGAAGTCAGCCAGGCATGATTATCAGCTCTAAAATCAGGAATGTTAGTCCATGGCTCTCATTGTTTTTCCAGAGCGCATTCTATCTTGAAATTTAAAAGCCTGTATTTTCACACGGATAGAGGTCCCTCTAGCCTTGTCTTAGCCTTTGCAGACAAAGCCAACCCAATTGTTTATCCTCAGAATCATTTTAAGCTGCTCAAGCACACAGAGACTTTAGTGGAAATTTACAAGACTTCTACGACTCAAATCATGGCAGAGATGAGATCAGTCTGGAAATTTCAGTCTTTGTATGAAATCTAAAGTTGATGAGCACTGGCTGTTCTGCCAAGAGGAATTAGTTGCAAGTTACCTAATTTATCATTTAGACATGGGTTTATATCAAATACTTGAATTGTGGATAAAGACCTTTAAATACAATCACAGTAATTTTGAATTTGGTTCTGAGCAGTTTAAAAAAACAAAAAAGGAGGATCCGGCACCCGTGGCTCACCCCTATAAATCTAGCTACTTGGGAAGCAGAGAATAAGACTGCAGATCAAGGCCAGCCTGGGCAAAAAGTGAAGCCCTATCTCAAAAATATCCAATACAAAAAAGGGCTGGCAGAGTGGCTCAAGTGTGGTACTGCCTGCCTGGCAAGTGCAAGGCCTTGAGTTCAAACTGCAGTTACTCCGCCTTCCCCCCCAAAAAAGATGTGGATCAATTACTTCTTGATAAATCTCCTAATATGTGAATGAATATAAAGTCATAATGCCAAGGAAAAGAGGAAAGTCTTCTAAAATACTGTGGCATAAATTCAGCTGTAAGAAAAAGCACAGGCCTTGGCCTCTTGACCTTCACTTTTTCTTTTGGATTTCTATCCATTTTTAATGAGGTGCTAGAGATCCAATCCAGGACCTTGGATGTGCCAGGCAAGAGTTCTACCACTGAGCTACGCCCCCAGTCCCAGAGCCTGTATTTTTAAACCCCTACAGTATATTGTGTCATACCTGTATGCTCTTATATTTAGAGCACACATGCCCTATGTGTGCGTGTGTACACACATGAACTGCTCAAAGAGACCCCAGGAGAATAGCTGCTACTACTAAGCAGGAAATTAGTCAGGGAGGTGAACAATGGGAAAGTCTCTAGCTGCCCAAAGTAGAAAGAGGGAGAGACCTGTCAGACCTGCTCCAGGCTTTAGGTTTTGGTACTGGGTGGGAACACAGTAAGAAGGGAGGTGTTAAGAGGAGGCTCAGCATCAGATGGCAAGGCTTCCTGTCAGAAGGGCTGCTTAGCAACCAGGTTTCTTCCCACGGCACTACAGGTTGTGATAGAACTGATACTTCTTATAGGGTCTCTTGTTCCTAGCAAAATAGTAGACATCAGTTTTATCATATTCACACAGCTGACTCCTGCAGTAGGCCTGATTTGCAGCACAGTTGATTTTTGCCTCTGCTTTGGTCAAATATATAGTTCAAGTTCTATGCTACATCCAAGTTTCTCCAGAGGTGGTAGCAACAGTCATGCCAATATGTTGTATTCTTGGGGGATCCTTTGCTACCCAGTCACAGTGGCAACCACAGAAGCAGTAACTGGTAAGGGCATTCTTTCCTGTGGTGAACTTGATCATGTATGAGAGTTCTGCCAGCTTTCCATAGGCCTGAGGCAAATCAAAGGCCTTGCACTGTAAGCAGCAGGAGGGTCTTGCTGCTGATGGTTCTCTTAGAGATGCTGGTGTTGATATTTCCAGGGACCACCTTCACTGTTTTGCATCACTTAGAATTTAAATATGATATGTTGAGAGAAAATTCTTAGTCACTTTCGTTCTCATAGTGGTGTTGAAATGCAGGGTTTGTCAAAGAATGGTATCTTAGGATCTCTGCTAACCTCACAGTTTGGTTCAAACTGTCCACAGACACTCACCCCTATATTCAATCTCCAAATTCTAGTAACCCAATGATATCATTAAACTTAGTTTGACTCTATTTAATACTGTCCACTGTAGCACCATCATAATGCAGGCTCCTGTAGTTTCACAACAGAATTCCTGAAGTGGTCTCCTCACTTGCTCCTGCCTCCAGGGTTATTTGTTCAGATCTTTCTGAAATGGACAAGGGATTCCACTGTCTAAAACTATTCAGTTAGATGCTATAGTTTTCAGGATACATTGTAAACTCCTATGGCAGTCCTGATCTGCTGTGACTTACTTTCTCACCATCACACACTAACTCTAGCTAATCTGACTAAGAGCAGGTCCCACAAGCTCTCGTGATGCTGTTTTCTCCTTAAGCTTTGGTTTTGGTTGTTATGTACCTGGAATGTCCTTTCCCAACTATCTACCCATAGAAAGAGGCACAGAGAAAGCAAGAGTAGAAACTATAGCTAGATGACTATGCACACAACATAGAAGGGCATTCACTAAAACTGTTCATGGGAATCCTTGAGGAACAGTGCATATTTTACTTTTCCATATTGTTGGGTTTTTAATGGTGAATAACTTCTCTTGAAACATTTTCAATTGTATTTTCCTAAGCTCAACCCCAGAGATACTGACTCAGCAGACAAGTTTCCAGGATTTTGATTCCAAAGTTTCCCAGAGATTTTGTTAAGAAGGCAGTTTGGGGGACCATGTTTGAAATAATTGTATCTAACACAATGAAGAAATTGACATTTTTGTCTCTTAAGAAATCTCCAAATTTATTATATAACTATATTTTTATTATTTCCTTATTATGTATAATAGTCAAGTGTACTACAAATATACATTCTCTAAGTATATTAGATTTGAATTATCCGTAAGAATTGTAATAGCATAGGCTGCCATTTTAATACTTAGTTATATTTGAATCAAGGGCCTAAATAATCATTGTAAAGCATATGGTCATGAGGTATGTTTCATAAATCATCTTAAAATTAAGACAAACACCCAGCACAACAATAAAAAAATAAAATTAAGACAAACAAAAAAAAGCATCAAAAGCATCAGGCTTTTTCTAACTTTAAAATTCTAACCATAAACTAAATCCATATAATTATTTCTCAAAGACATGGACATTCTCAAAATATAAAGTGGAAAGTTATTACAAATATCACTAAACATGTTTAGGTTTTTAACTTTGGTAATATATGAAGATGCCAGTGTTTTTTTGTAGTTAGCTTTTGAAAATATGTATATTCTCTAAAATTCAGACATCAAAGCATCTATTTCTTTAAATTTATTAGTTATATTCTTAATACATTCTCCAGCTTTTAATTTTATCCCATCAATTATAAGATAATCCTCTTCATGGTGGCCGTGAAACGGACTGCCTTCAGGAGCTTCAGGGCTGCATATAAGTAACTGCAAAAATAATGATATAATTAATTCATCAGAACTATATCAAATTTACTCAATTATTTGGATAAAACATAAAGTCATCAGTAATTCCTCAAGCCACAATAGTATATAGTTTTCTTTGCTGCTGGTCAAATAATGAACCCCATATATATAGTATTAATGAATATTATATGTGTTTGAGTAATAATAATAATGATTATTTAGGTTCTGTCTTTATTCCTCAACATTACCCATTTTTAGTTTTTGGTTTATGCTTTGGAACAATGTGATCATTTAAATTTTAAGTTTTTATATTGGTTTATTTTAAGATTACTATAGGAAATGCAAATTAGAACTGTTTTGGCCACATTTTCTGTGGTCATTTTCTCATAACCATCTGTGTTACTTACCAACAGTGAGCATATGCTGCAGCCTAGTAGAGAGGGCACTGGCAAAAACAATGCATGCACACACGCACACACATGAAGTTCATAACTTCAAGTTTCACTGAGGTAGGATTAACCTCTCATACAATTCAAGGGGAGAAAAAGAACATATATGTAGTTCATATATGTATTTTAACGTATAAAAATGTAACTTTAATCCAAATACTCATGTAGTAAACCATCTTATTTGTATATAGATTATCTGATTTTGTAAATTATTCAGGCAGATTTATAAAAATCTGATTAATTTCCTCCTATTGCTTGCCAAGTCAGGGCCTGTCGACCAGTGTTAATATTAGCCGGAGAACATAATTAGGAAGGGTAACTCTACCAAGGAAAATAATCTTAAAAAACATTTCAATGACCAATAGGAAAGAGTTTTGATTACCCATGGTTGTGTGCTTTTTCTACCATACTACTCTCATCCATTGGTATAAATGCTAGAGGTATTAAAATTAAAGTCTCATAGATGAAATGAATGATGAAAACATTACAGATTTACAACTGTGAAGATAGCTCATATGATACCTGCTTAGAGAATCAATTTGCTCAGGACTTTAAAATTATCAGGTGGCTCTTTTTGTGTGTTATCTTATCAGAGGACACTTTCTCCTAAACAAACAAACAAAACCTAAGCACATCTCTGGCTGTGTTTGACAGCTGTATGTATTAATTCTTAATAATTACCAAAGAGGAGGACAAGAAGGAGGAGGAAAGAAATCCCAGAGGTGATCATTTTTGTTCTTACTTTTAAACTGGAAATTGTTCCAGCTCTGATAGTTGGTTTCACTGCTGTTCTCATTTAACAATGAACAAAATCCCTAAACATCCTGAGCCTGGCATGAGTGCCAGACACACAGCACTCAGTGTGCACAGCAGCTATGAATCAACCCAGCAGGAGGCACTCCTGCCTATAGTAAGTTAAAATAATTAACTTTTACAATTCCTAAATGCCTTTTGAAAGCATACAATAATACAAGAATCTAAAACAAACAGAAAGCTCCCGCATGGTGATGTATTAAAACTATGTATTTTACCATAAGAAATAACAATCAGAAGTAATTTTCTGTTAAGTTACTAGTTATAACAGCAAAATAGAAGCCAATTCTGTAGTTGCAAGGCTCTAGGACACCACTGTAAAGATCAACCTGTCTGTATTTTTGCAAATACAGACTAAAAAAAAAATGTGCAAAATAAATGCACAAAATCATTTGGTGTTCAATAATTTGAATATTAATTATATGTATACAGGATGAATGTCACCAATGTATAGGTCTTGTTCTATAAAAGGTAAGACACACTATAGAAAACATATTTTTAGAAAAGAGCATTAATCAGAAAAATGACATTTATTACTCATGCAAATTCAGGTAAAAGTCAGTATTGCTGGTGCTGAATAAGAAATTTATCATGTTTTTCAAACTAGTAGGAGTTGACATTAATTTTTTTTTTCTTTTTAACACATTTATCTTGATAATGGTAAGTTCTGTATGGTTCCTTAATTTCTAATTCAATATTGGAGGTGTTAAAGACTTGTCTTTAGCCAGAGTGGGAACAGAGGGTTGGGAGGATGATGCATACCTATAAACCTCGCACTCAGGATGCTGAGGCAGGGGATCTCAAATTTGAAGGAAGCCTGGACTCAACAGAGAGACCCTGTCTCAAAAAGGTGACAACAAAGACTCATTTTTATTCTTGTTGAGGTTCTAAACGAAATTATGCAATTGGGCAGTCAGCCAAAGTGTATAAATCACCTTGTTCATTTCTAAATCCATCTTTTTCTGTATCTCAGAATAGTCTTGGGGATGGGAGTTTCTCAAAGTAAGAATGTGGGAAATGAGAGATGAAGAAAATCTTAGTGTTCATTCTTTCTAGAAACTACTGTTGCCAATTCTCATCTGTAACACTAGCTAACTTGATCTTATGTTAATCATTTATCCCATTTTTCCTTATTTAATTCTTAAAATAATCCTCCAACGCAGATGATAAATAACCACCAAATTACACAAGTCCTTAGTGGTACCACCGAAATTGGGGCACAGGCGTTTTCATTCGAGATAGTCTTAATATGCTCTCTTGACCTAAGGCATACTATACATCTGAATGAAAGAATGAACAAATGAATAAAACCTCAAGGATACACAATTCCCTGCTGCTATTTTTCTTTCTAACTATGTAAGGAACAATTGTACTCCCTGGTAAAGTGTTTACCTGATGAATTCTTTTTTTTATGCCTGCCATGTTGCTGCTCTGTATTAATGGCCTGGGCTTTGTATCACAAACCTTCATTTTATTTTCAGAGACATTGAATAAAGTAAGCACATAAAGCCTTTCTGAGTACAACATAGTTGACCAAAAGGAGGAAAAAAAAGAGGTAAACCAGACACAAATGGTGAAACTTATTCTAATGAAAAATTCTATCTCCTACCCATATGGTAATAATGAAGTCTTTCCTTTATAAGGCTATCCCAGTGCTTGGATCAGACAGGGCAGTTTTTCCAGTAAGCTGTGCTACTCTTTTCTAGTGATTTGCTGTTAGCCAGGACTTTTCTCCTAACTGAAAAGATCAGGAGCAGGGAGAACATCTCTCTATAGTGGTCTGTCTTAGCTACAATGAGCCCCCTCTATCTTCCTTTATTCTAAACCCAAAGATCTAAAATTCAAAGAACAGCTCTACTTAAACAGATGTATTCTGATTTCTCAATGGTCTACTAGTTTATATTCACATCATGATAATCAAGACCTCAAATTTCAGATGTGTAAAAGGTGTTCAGTATGATTTGAATGTGTAACTAGGAAAAATTCTGCTATTTAAAGATTGACATTTAGGCCTAGTAATAACATTAATACCCACTTTTTCTCCTGTGTTAATTTCTTCTCCTTGTGCTTCCTCAGACTCATCAGGAGTTGCTGTGGGTTCTAGGGCTTGCTGTAGCATTTTCTCCAGCTCGTTTAGTAAAACTTCTGTCTCAGAGACAACTAAAGAAAAATTATTAATATATTAAAATGTTACATCCTTAATTAATTTTATCTAATTCATAATCTTAACCACCCAGGAAGAAGAAATCTTGGTAATGCTACGGATAAAAAAAAATAATGTTTCAAATAATTTTTATATGTGACCCCTGCTTATCAAAATTATATCATGCATTTCCAGGTGAATCTCCTATAAGTTTTCTTGGAAAACTTTAGATGATATTCTTGTTATGTACATACTATAAAATGTCTCTGAAATATCAAGCTCACTCTAGAAGTTGTGTGTTCTTTTTAAATTAGGATTCCAGGGCACCAAAATAAATTTTTTATTTATAGACTGACTGACAGCAAAACTGTTCTGTAAAGGACTAGAGGGCAAATATTTGAAGCACTGTTGGCCAGATGATTTCCATGATAGCTACTCAATTCTGCTTTTGTAGCACAAACCATAAACATGTACATAAATAAATGAGAATGGTTGTGCTCCAATAAAACTTTATTTACAAAAACAGGTAGCAGCTGGCAGTCTGTAGGCCAGTTTGCCAATCCCTACTTTGGGCTACTAAAACTACTATTTAAAAGCTACATAATTAAGTGCGTACTCTGAACACAGGCTAGTCCATTTCAAATCCAAATGGTAATATATCTTAATGACTCAATCTGGTTTTAAAAAGAAAATACTGGGTTTTTTTTTTTGCATTACTGAGAAATAAATATTTATGTAAACCAAAAACTTGATACTTTATCAAACTTGAGGTAAAATAATTTCCCCACCAAAGAAATAGAAGGTCTATATAATCAAACACTAATTAACAATATGCATTTGAATTCTTGACTTAAATAAAACAAACAATTTTATTTGATATAGAATCTTGCTGAAACAAAGATCAAAGAAAACAGGCATGTGTAGCCTGCTGTGCTGTACCAGAGACAGATGGAGAATATGAGAAGTCCTTCCAATGATAACATAATTTGGAGGGAACAGCCATGAGTATACACTCCTTCATCTTCCACTTTACTAAAATCTGACATACCATCTCCTATTATCTGCCATTTTGGCAGGTCACCAAAAATCACACCAGCTAGAGCAGCTGAAAGTGCACAGAACCTTAAAATGCACTCAAGCAGGACATAAAAAAGAAAAATTTAAGTTTGCTAAAATAGTTACTAATAGTAAGGTTAAAATCTTGGCAGGGTATGAAACAGAAAGTTTCCCTTTTCTGAAGAGTATGAGAGGGTTGAATATGAACAAAGTACCTTATATGCATGTGTGGAAATATTACAACAAAACTCCTTGATGCAGTTAATATGTGCCAATAAAATGTTCAAACAATAGAAAATTTCCATTGCTTGGTTGTTGCTATTGTACTGTAAAAACAATTTTTCAATTTTACATGTTTCGTATTATAGTTATGTCTACAGAAATAATTTTTCCTTTCAGTATTTATTGTTTTCCCTAAGCGCTTTTATATCTAATCAACAAATATTAATTGTATACCTACTACAGAACAGGAACTCCAGAAAATAAGTATAGACAAACAAGCCTTCCTGGCCATAATCTCTTGCCAGCTGATTTTAGATTTACTCTTTGGAAAACTTCTTTCAAAACATTTTGCGCTGGGTATGTTGGTACAAACCTACAATCACAACACTTAGGAAGTGAGGTAGGAGGATGGAGTCTGAAGCCATCCTGGGCTACACAGTAAGTCTGAGGACAGCTAGGGCTATTTAGTGAGATTCTGTCTCAAAAACCAATAAAACAATCAACAAAACAATAACAATAACAACAAATTGAAAGAAGCTTTCTGATAATCCATTCCACATTTTGGAATACATTTTCATATTTAACAAACAAATCAAAACTGCAATTAACATGTTAATTGCATCCAAATACATCTGTGTTCTACAGTAACTGCTAAAGTCTAAGAACAAAGATAACAAACAAAATGTTCCAGTCTAGAATAGTGGCATTTGAAATTTGGTGAGTGTTAAGAATCACCTGGAGAATTTACCTAAAAATACAGAACCAACTCCAAGTCTACTGAATCAGAATCTTGTAGAGGATTCTGTGTGTTTTTATTGAAGCACTTTTAATGAAATTAACCTCCAATTTTGGGTAGACTTGGTAGTAACCAATATCCTTATACCAATTCTCTAGTTCTACTCATAAATTCCTACTTTACATTCTGAGTTCATGGAAACTGACAATGAAATGCACTGTTGAGAAGATGGATTTTGAGCTGTACCATAAAGGAAAAATGGCAAAGAAGCATCTTTATATTTCTAATGTCAGGCTAAAATACAATGATATTGAATGTTATTGCCAAATGCTATTGTAAGCTCTCTGTTGTCAAGCGATCTGGAAAAACGTCCATACTGTCTTCTGATCAAAGCAGAATTTGACTGATATCAAATTCTGCTTCCAGAACAATGGGAGGCTTACTTTTCTAAATAGGTATTATAAGTCAAAGCTCAAAAATTATTCTCAAAAAAATAGCAGATACTATAACCTACAAACTAGGTTATCAAAATTGGTCAATGATATCCTACAAAGATAGAGACAAATGAATGCCTTGTGGATTGCCTGACCAATCATCTTCAATCAATACTATTATCCTTCAGTTTTCCTGAATTGTTTCAATTTGTTGTTGATAGTAAAGTGGTAGCATTATAACTACTACTGAGGAGAGAGAAAGGAGAGGAGAGGAAAGGAAATAGAAGAAAGAAGAAAGAGAACAGTATCTCCAATACTTAAGTCCTTATCTGGCTTGTAAAAAAATCAATGTGTATAAAATTAATCAGTGTTTCAGTGTGATTTTTCCATTCCTGAGAAGAAAGAATTACTCTCTCAATAATCCATCATGATTTTAAAAGGATATATATATATATATATATATATATATATATATATATATATATATGGAGTTTTCTTTAATCTCTTTATTAAATGTTTAAAGAAACTTTTTAGAGGTTATGGGTTGAGTTACCCCAAACTGGCACAGAAAAAAAGCCAAATAAATATGCAGGGATACTTCATTGTTAAAATTCTGAAAGCATCCACATAGAGTCGGAGAGCAAGGAGGAAGAGTATTTGGTTTTGAGTAACCACTCCTCTGTGTGCTTCAAATATAAATGTAGAGAGAGTAAAACAACCTGAGATGTAATAAAGAGGAGACCACTATTCTTGTAGACACAAACAGAAACAGGAAGCATGATGCTTCTGGGGAAAGTGGAACAAGTTGAAGAGGAGATGTGGGCTAACACAGCCTTTTACCCTAGAAGTTCAAGATAACACCCTATCAAAAGTCCTTAGGCAGAGTTTATTGTGAGTAACAAGATAGTGCATTTCTCTCCATCTCCCTTTCTTCCTCCATGACCCAGTCCCTAATGCGGTTTTGTTCCCACCAGGAGTCACCCCAGAAGCCAAAACTTTCCTGTATTAACAATCCTCTTCCAAGCTTATCTGTCTCAGGTGACTGAAAAACATATACTTTGCTAATTCAATAATGAATGTTTACAGGTTATTAGTTGGTCTTGTGTAATATGTCAATCTTTATTTAAACTTTTATAAACGGTCTATTCTCCAAAAATGAATGAGATATTTATCAACAGAAAACAATGAAACAATAAAACAGTGAAAGTAAAAAAACTAAAGAAAATCAAAATCAATTCAAAAAGGGAAATATGAAAAGCAATAATTAACTTTAAAGTATATTTAGACCAACTATCAATGCTGTACCAAAACCCTCCACAAATTTAGTTAAGCTTACTTATAATCAAAGCAACCAAGGAAATAGATACAATGCTTTAATTAATTTTATCCTTGGAAAAGTGATATAATGTATTAAGTGACTCAGTTTCCTGATCGATAAAATGGGATACCATGTAATATCTACTTTACCCCATACAGATCTTGTCAGGGTTCAATAAACAAATAAATATGAACTATTAAGGAAAATGAGGGCACTAAATGTGTAAGAAGTTACTAGTTGTTGAATAATCTTTCTTTAGATTTACAGAACCTAGTACATCTAGTGACCTTTGGATTACATCTAACACAAAGCATGTCACTTTTTATGAGGTTTAATTTGCAGAAAAGTAACATGTCTGTCTAAAGAACTATAAGAAGTAGTCCCAGAGGGCTGAGGTCCATTGATGTTCCAGTCACAGAAGAAGAAAAGAAAGAGAGAAATCTGCCCTGGACTATAAAATCCCACTCTGAACATAGTCTTCCTTCCCATTGGCCCCCTACTCCTCCTTTCCCTCCTTATAAAAGCCTTTTGGACACCTGAGAGTCTCCTCCAATTTTCCAGGGCTTGCTCCTAAATAAACCTGATTTTCTTACCACCAATTTTCCTCTCCTAAGTATTAGCTTTCATGCAACAAACAACTGAATCTGGGTCTGGTAACACTATGAAGAAATGACAGATATCAGAGGCTTCAATTGAAGGCACCACAGAAATACAGGCGGGGTAGAAAAAAAAAAAAACACTGAGAAATGTTAACCTTGAACAAGAACTACTGTTTTCAGGAAGTCATCTCTTAGAAAAACATAGTGGCTCCTTAGTTATTCATGATAGGATGAAGGAATAAAACACAGATTAGGTAAAGTATTTTAGCAAGGAACTTTTAAGATTTTTTTGGAGCCATACTGAATGTAACATTCCTGAAGGGGCTTCCATTTACCTCCGTAACTAGTGAGATATGTTCATCTATTACTTCTAGTCAATGGATGCCTCTTGGCTGTAGTGGATTTTTTTTTTTTTTCTGATAGTATCCTGTGTGAACTGGCAGTGTTACTGAAATCTGAGGTCTTCACTGTTCACTGCTTTATCAAAAACTCTGGAGACTGAAATTGGTGGGAGGAAAAAGGTTGATTCAAAGCTGGTCCTGAGAGAATGAAGGAGACCTCTTCATCCCAAATTTCAATCTTCCAAAGCTCAGGGAGTGTGAAGGGTTTTTATGGAAGACAGGAGGGCCCTTACTTACTCCTCTTCCTGAAAATCCATCTGAATCTTAACGTGGGGCCAGTACCTGCATTTCTTTTCTTTCTTTCTTTTTTTTTTTTAAGTAAACTAATTCATACAAATGTGAAGAAAGAAGGGGGTGGGGCATTGCTGAGAATGTTATGTGAAAAGGATGGATTGCTGAAAGATTAGGGAAAGGACTAGGAGTAAAGAAAAAAGTAAATAAAGTAAGTAAAAGTAAAGAAGTAAAAGACTAGAGGAAAGATTATGAGGGAAGGCAAGAACTAACATTCCCCAACTCATTACCTTGTTACCAATCAGCTGGTAGGATTCTTCTGCTTTATCTGGATGGAAATCGCAAATAAGCAGCTTCCCTAGTGTCTGTAGTTCTGGGGCCTAGTGACAAAGTCCCATGGTTGGAATAACAGACCCAGAGGCTTTTGGCTGCAAGCTCTGGACACCAGTGACTGATAGCTCTAGGTGTGCCAGTCTGAGGTTTACTGATCTGGGCCTTGAGTGTCAGTGGTCCTGAGATAGGGAAATGGAGAGAACAAAGAAAGGAAAACAAAACAAAACCCCTAGTAAAATTTAAAATAAACTTTTTATAGAGTAACCCCACAGAGAACCATAAATAGTTCTATTAAAGCACTTACAGGCCTTAAGGAAAACATATGTTAAAATGACACTAACAGTATCGAATGTGTTCCTGCAGAATGACAGTAAATGATTGTGTGCCCCCTAGTTTGACCCTCTCACTGTTTGAGATCACACAGTACAAGATTAGGAACTATCAGATAAGACTCTAACAATAGAAACCTCAGCTAAGACTCTAACATTACAAACCTTAGATAAGTCTCTGAGGGTTGTAGATATAAATAATGGAATTGGCAGGTGATCAGTAATGAGAAAAATCAAAATAAGTCAGAACCTCAAGAATATAGTCTGAAAACAAAGGTGGAAGGGCATGTCTTTTTCATGTTTTCACTCTACTATTTGGAGCATACACTTTTCTCATTTGCCAATAAATATGCTTAACTCTCACACCTGACTCATCTTAAATTCTGTTTGATGACAAAGTTAAGGACTGTCATGGCCTGAGTTGAGGTCCCCTCCCTACCTCCCATGGGGACCTTGTTGGTTCTCCACATTATAGCGAATCAGCCCCATACTCAGTGATCAGTGATCTATGACTTATAACAGCAACTGAAGTTGCCAGCAGCAGGTGGTGGCCAGCATTACAGTTCCAAGCCCTTAGTTTTGGGACCTTCAGCTCCTAACAGCTTCCAGTGTTACAGTTAGCTAACCTTCTCAGCCCTTAGGGTTTAGCAGCTCCCTGGAACTCTTCCAGCAACCAGGGTTCACAGTCCCTCATCTTAGACTCTTCACAGCATTTTGCCTTCCATAGTATTGGCTTCACAACTTCTCTCACCTCTTACACCATACTTCGTCATTTCAGTTGCCTCTGCTCCCCAGTTGCTCTCTAGAACTCTCTATTGACCTAATTCTTTTACTACCATGGGCTCCACTCCTCTATGGCCACTGTTGCTGCTGTCTCCTCTACATGCTACTAACTCTGCCTGCCCTACCCATGATAAAGATCACAAGGAGGCAAGAAAAGATCACTTACGAGAAACCTTTTACTGGGCCTAGTGTTGCAACACTAAAGGGCAGCGCAGGAAGGCATATCTTGGCTAACTCAAAAAGTGAGCTGAATAGACTAATTATATAGGCAGGAAGGGTATATAGCATGGATGTGACATACAAATGTGATAATGTAATGCACCAATTGAGGAAGGCTAGAAGGGGAAGTCTGGACTTTTAAAGACCATACAGCCTGATTTACATCACCCTGTTCCCCCTCCCTGACCTGTATCCTCTGAGCCCATAGAGCCCCATTTTAATTGCAAATCCTTTGTTAAACTAGAGTGAGAATTTCCTCCCTCATGGACTTAGGGGTACCTGAGAATTAGCATAGGTGTATGCATAAGACTGTCCAGATCCTCCCTCTGGCCGAAAGACCATTGGAGATGGGAGTGACACAGATTTTTCTCTCTACCTCCAAGTAAAGGATGATGTAAAAATGACCTAAAATAAAATCCTTCCCTTTCTTCTTCTGCAAGCAGTGCCTTCATTCCACCTGGCAGAGACCTCACCATAATCCCTTCCCCCTTTCTATAATAAAACTCCATTATATCCCTCACTACATCCACGGATTCTTGTTTGGATTCTTCTGTGCCAGAGTGCAAGTACCAAGATCTTCTGGTTAGAGGCACCATTGCCATCAACAAAATCACAGCACAATTTACAGTTTCACCAATCACAGGCCTCATTTAAGGACCAACCAGAGGTCTCATTATACCAGTCAGAAGCTTTCTGTTAAGCCACTTGGGGAAGTGCTTTCTTCCTACTCCCCCACACCCAGTGAGAATAGCAGCAGGGTGAGCAGAGTCATGTAAAGTTGTCTGAGGCTTGTCTTGGAGTGATGTCTTCCAAGGCTTGTACAGGTTGCCCAAGCTCTTGTGACTAGAGAAAGGCTCTAGAGCCTCCCAGAAGCTTTCTTGGCTTCAGTTGCAGTGTCCTTGCAGCTACAGTGGACTTCAAAAGGCTGAACTGTCTTGGAGGTAGCCAAGTTTTTTGCCAAGGGATTGTTTGGCTAATAGCTTCCTACCTGAGGCAATCAGGCATAAGCAAGGAGTACATACATCAAGTAATTAATGTGAAATCAACATTCTTAAAGGTGCTTAATAGAGTTTCCTTCTCACAATACTTAACTGTACTTAATCTGCCTCAAATGATCCTAGGGAGGATCACTGGCTTATATAGCCAATTGGAATGCAATGTCATAGGCTATGGGGTGGCTTAAAGGGAGAGGGACTAAGGTATTGTAATTCCTCTGAGTTTAATGGGATTTGAAACTGACTGCCAAACTTCCACCTTGCAAATAAGCATTTGCCTGATTTTTAAGACTAATGAAAATGTAGGAAGCATAAATCAGTTTTGATACCTAAAACTTTCTCTGTGTTTTCCACATCCACCCTATTGTGTTTTAGTATCAATGGCAATTCAGTTGGAGATCCCAGGCTATTTACTTCCTTCTCTTCGTTTGGAATAGAGAAGTTTGAAATAGAGAAGTCTAGATTTGTGTGAAACATAGTTTGTTTCCTCCCACAACTTTTAGCATAGGTAGATACAGTTGATCTGTATCCAGCTACCTCCCTCAGTTCTAGAGGTATACTGTCACCTAACTTACCTCTTGAGGTGATTTGTTAAAATCACTGTTATTTATTTACTTTTTTGGTGGGACTGGAGTTTGAACTCAGGGCTTCATATTTGCAAAGCAGGCACTCTACTACTTGAGCCACACCTCCAGTCCATTTTGCTCTTGATTTTGGAGATGGGGTCTTGCAAACTATTTTCCCTGGCTGGCCTCAAACTGTTATCCTCCCAATCTCAGCATCCCAAGTAGCTAGAATTACATGTGTGGGCCACCAGTGCCCAGTGTAAAATCACTCTTTGCTATCATCTTATTCTTCATGGTTCTTTTGCTGTTCCTGGACAGTGTCCAAATCTCAGAGGTTTGCATCCAAAGAACTAAAGAATATTTGGAACACCATAGCTACCAGAACATAATCACTAGTCTTTTATTTTAAAATACTAAATATATGAGAAAGTCAAAGAAAATTTAATTCAAGGAAATAAAAGCATAAAGACAATTGAAAAGCTCCTGTATATAAGACACCACAGAAATGACCCATTAATGTTTCTCTTATGGATATTTACAGCAGCTTTTTTTTTTCACTTCAAAGGAAACAACTGCATTTCATGGAATTAGATACAGGCAAAATAATTAAAAACAGGACAGGCCTTCACATACCCATGTTTTCCTTTGATAAGGCATCATCAGACCAAACATTTTCAACAGAGCTTTTTAAAATAGCTTCCCTAGAAGAACAATTTGACAGTTTTAGTTTCAAAAGATCAATTATACATAATTGAATGCTCATGTGTATTCATTGGTATAGTAGACTATGAATATATATTTCTTTATCTTAAGGTACTTTTTCCTAGTTGTCTTATACAGTAAGATAACATAATAACAATGAAGAAACAAAGGGGACTAATATTGATTTGAGCTTTCACTAGATGCAAAGTACTGAGATCTACTAAACAACTTAAACAGGTTTTTAAAATTTAATTCTCCTTCAAAAACTCTATAATTATAATGTGAGTACATACATCATATACAAAGAAATTTGAGACAACAGCAGAAATGAGAAATTTGGCAAATAGGTAAATGGTGGAGCATGACAGAATCAAATTTTGTCAAACTATAGCCATGATTTTTCCATACTGCTGATGTAGAGCCAGAAGGTATTTGTACAAATTGATATTCTTTAACTGTAAGATCTTGAGAAAATCACTTAACTTCTCTAAGTCACAAATCTTCATATTTTAAGTGAACATAACTAACTATAATATACTGTTTGATGGGGTTGCTATAATGTATAACTAAGATAGTCAAAGTTTTTAAGATTTAGTTATTGTCTGAAAAAGCACAAAGGAGGACTGTTAGTGTCAGTCTTTATTTTTGAGTAGGATTCTTTTTAACACAGCACTGTTTACATTCTTTAAAAAATATAGCCAGATGCCAGTGGCTCATGCCTGTAATCCTAGCTACTCAAGAGGCAGAGATCAGGAGGATCATAATTGGAAACAAGCCTGGGTAAATAGTACGTGAGACCCTATTTGAAAAAACCCATCACAAAAAAGGCTGGTGAAGTGGCTCAAGATGTAGGCCTTGAGTTCAAACTCTAGTCTGCAAAAACAAAACGAAACAAAACAAAACAAAAAAGGCAAAACACAGTACATGGTTAGTCTGGTTCAATAGTAAACACTAAAACTTGACATCAGTGGCTTATTAGTTTATTATGAAGGCCTGATTGTGGCTTGTCTTACCTATTTTTAAACAAAAAATTTGTTTCTCTTGTGGTTGTTCAAATGATATTAATATTTTATTTCTAAAAGTTCTGGTTTAACATACTTGTTTGAATATTTTCTCAGTCAGGTATAGTGGCACACACCTTTATTCCTAGTACCAGAGGGGCTGAGGCAGAAAGGTTTTAAGCTTAAGGCCAACCTGGGTTACATAGTGAGACTCTCTTCCAAAAAACAAGAGCTAGAGGTGTGGCTCAAGCATAGGACACCTGCTTTGCAAGTGTAAAGCCCTGAGTTCAAACCCTAATACTGCCAAAACAAACAAACAAACAAAAAAAAACCCTTTATACTTCTAAGACTATTACTTTAATAATTCGTTTAGACATTTAAAACACATTGTTTCCCTAATGAGACAGAATCAGGATTAGGGCAAATGTCACATAATAATTAGATGCAATACACACATTTCAATTTTATATAATACCTTTAATTTTATAAAGCATACCTTTTCTTTTTTCTAACTTTGGGCTTTTTCTTTTCAACATTAGTTTTGGAAACATGCATCTACAAAACAACAACAAAAAAGTAAGTTAGTTCATATGGAATCGGATCTGCTCAATATAATAATGGGTACTATGTGGTCCAAGTAATGTACCTGAATAGAAACTTGGTCCATAACTCATAGAAACAACAACTGTAAGTCAAGCCGACAATCTCATAGTCACCACAAGTGCACCTATCTACACAACTTCCAGAAAGGGTGGGGTGACCTGAAAAGCATGTATATCTTCCATATTCACGCTCCCCCCTTATTCACCTTCATAAACACAAAAAATATTAAATAAAACAACTTTCAATTTTTATATACATATATAACCTTTATGGAAAGAAAAAGATTCAGATCCTAGATGCATGTAGAATGCAAAGACATACAGATAGCAGCTGACACAGTGAAGGCCCACAGGGATTTGTATCAAGATGGGACAAAGGGACTTAGAGATGGGTTTTTGACATCTAAGCAAAGACAACTGACATTTGTGGTTAACACTGGATAGAGAGCTACATTGATTATGCTGCACAAAACCTGAGGACGTCAAGAATTCTTCTGTCCATAAAAAGAAAATTGGTAAAACATTACTTACTAGGACACAAAAACAACAAGGTATTATGTAGTCTGATGTAGGAATTAAAAAAGAAAAAAAGCAATAATCCTAGAAGAATGTAAACATTTGGCCTATTCCATCAATGTGAGGAATCTAAATTTATGTCTCCTGAGAATACAAGGATTTCCCAAACAAATAATTGAAAAGAAGATTTATCCAGGATTCCTAAACTAAGACAGGAGTAAGCAGAAAAAAAAAAGCTATTAATATAAACACTTACATATGAGATTCCTTAAACAACTACCATTAATTCGGATTTATTAAAATTAAGGGCATGTATTATACTGGGCAAGAAAATCTCCTATAAAACAATTGTATTTGAACTGTATGGGTCAGTTGACATAAAATTCAAAAGCAAGCAAACTTATCTGTGGTAGAAGAGGTCAGGATAGTGGTAGCTCATGAAGATAGGAAGAATGATTGAAAGAAGGCATGAAAGCACTTCTGGTAATGTTTTATTCCTTCATCCTGTGCTGCTTAGAAGGACATGTTAAATTTGCAAAAATTCATTCAGCTTTATTTACATTTATGATTTTAATTTTTGTGTAAATTTATTTGATAGTAGTAGCTTACATTAAAAATAAACATTCTTTAAGTTATTGAAGATGTTAAAAAATGAATAGAAATCACAATGAAGAAGGTCAGATTTCTAGGACATTTGTGACTTATTAAAATAATTTAAAAAAGAACCAAATAGCATTTCCTGAAAAGTCAAGTTATTGATTTTAAATTTCAGTGAACGAATGATTTAACAAACTAATCAGACACTTTGAAGAGAGAGAAAATAAGTTCCCTGGAAGGCATATTTGAAGAGATCACCAAATCTACCAGAGAAAGATATAAAGATAATTTTTGGAAGATCAGTTAAAAGCAGGGAGAATCAAATGATAAGGTTGAACATACTTCTGAAAAGAGTTCTGTACTGGTAATATAGAAAGAAAAAGGAAGAGAAAATATTTGATATTACAAATGGCTAAGGATTTTCCAGAATTAAATACACAAAATTTTAGAAGTCCACTGGGCCAAGCAAGATCAATAAAACTCCATGCTATTAATTCATAATGGTGAAATTTCACACAGCAAAATGAAAAAGTAAAATCTTAAAAGCAATCAGAAGGAAAAGACAAATTATGAAGCAACGACAGTTATATTGTAATAGACACATAATCAACAATACCCAGGACTCTATCTTTCAGTTAAACTATACCTAATGAAACTATAACTTAAAAAAGGTAGCTGTATGTTTGTATTGGTTGAAGGTGCTTACAGTGAACGAGGTCCTTCAAAGCTGTTTTCTCTACTGTTTCAATTGATTTCCATGATTATTTTAAAAATTATTAAAAATTAAAAAATAAATATTTTTAAATGAGTGAGAATTAAAAGTATACAATTTTGCTGAAAGAGTTACCAAAGGATATACTAGGGAGGAAGACTGATTTTAGAAAAACCATAAAAGAAATGAAGATAAACACATTAACTGCTAGACAGTATATAAATCTAAATGAACTCTGACCTAAAAAAATATAAGACTAAAAGGGATGAATATGTCACTCAGTGGCAGAGCACACATCTAGCATGAACAGGCCCTGAAATTAAAAAGCAAAATAAAGACAAATTGGTAATGGAGTGAATGGCAAGGAGGGTTTATAATAGTAGACAACTAAATGGAAGAGGAAAAGGGATTAGACTGGGGTAAGAGGTATTGAAAGAAGAATTTTAAAAAGAACCAAAGAGTGCTTCTAGAAAAGAAAAGTCATTGATTCTAAAATTCATATATTGAGGTCTAGAGGCATGGCTCAAGTGGTAGAGTGCCTGCCTACTAAGTGCAGGGCCCTGAGTTCAAACTCCAGTACTGCCAAAAAAAAAAATTTGTGTCTTTGTATCTCCTCATAATTAGCACACACACACATAAAAAACAGCAATGTGTAATTTCTAGATGAGCAGAAAGGATAAAAGGGAATTTTAAAAGCAAGTAATCTAACAGAACCCTAAAAAGGGAAAAAAGAGAAACTGCAAATAGAAAATACTAATAAGATGTTAAAAAAATTCTAAATATGTTTATAATATCAAGTGATACAAATGTATCTACCAGGAGAGATCCAAGATGGCGAGGGAGACAGAGCTGCAGACCTTGTGAGCTCCTGACCCAAACACCCTGCCGAGAAGCTGGAGGCACTCCTGAGGTAAAGCACCAGGGAGAGCCAAAACCACCGCACTCTAAACACTTAGATCGTGGAAGGCTTCTCCACGCCACTATCTAATAAAAGAACAGCCGGCCTGCCAAATCCCTGCCCTGTAGGTCTGCAGGGCTCTCCGCCCCTCAGGCTGTGCCAGGCCACAGCCCTGCACCAGACCCACACATGGTGGGATACCTGCCCCTCAGCCGCACCAGCCTCCAGCCCCCAGACCCACACCACACCAGAACACCTGCTCCTCAGCTGCACTGCCCGATGCGTGACCACCGGGATCCCCGCTACCAGTCTGCACCAGACACCAGCCCGGAGCCGGTCCCACAGCTTGCTGGGATACCAGACCCCTCCCCAGGGCCCTTCATGCCCTGCTGAGCTCCAGCTACACGTGGAACAATCCCTCCCCTCGGATTTCCCCCGCCCATCAGGCCCTACCTGGCTCCAGCTCCATATGGAATGACTGGAGCTCTGCACCGCTGGGACAGCTATCAGCCTGGCCCCAGATAGCTGCATCCACCAGCCTGCCAGGAACCCTGCCCCTCAGGCGGAGCCCGCCCCAGTTCTACAGGCTTCCCAGATAACCGCTCCACCAGGCTGCGGCTTGGGCCACCACTAGAGGGATCCAAGCTGCTTAAGAGACACA